GGGGGGGGGGGGGGGGGGGGGGGAACTGGCTGTTTGGAAGCTATTATGAAAAATAGCCTTCCTCTTTTTAGGCAAATTCTTACAAAATAAATCCATAAGACTATTTTTCAAAATAGCTCCCAAGCCCAAAGGCTCTTTAGCACAAGGATAAGAGGAAAAGCAGGTACTAAAGAGGCTTCCTTTAAGTGTTATGCCTACCTAGAACTGCTTCCTTTAAGCTGATGAACATGGCCATCAATCTTTTGAAAGTCCACGTCAGGTTGAGCTCTGAAAAGGAAAGGGAAAGAAAAAAAAAACCCATAAAAATTCCGGGAAAACTCATTCCAAACAAAGAAACTCATAGATTATAAGCCTCGAGAAGCCTCACAATGCTGCAGTGAGATCATTGAGTAGCCTCTCGGAATCCTCGAAGAAAAGAGACACCACTTCAGCAATGAAATCTGGGTTGCCCTCATCTTGCAGTTTTTGCAGCTCTATAAACTGACTGTCCAAGAAATCCTAGCCCTCCCCAACAAAGACAAAACACCAGAAAACCAAATTCAAGAATCGCTTTGAGACTACAAAACAAGAAATGTATAAGAAATGGACACAGCTAACTTCCTCTTGGTTGAGTTATACTCATAGGAAACTCTTTTGTAACTACTACCTTTCCACGATGGTTAACAAACTCGAACGCTTTCTCATAGCTGTTCTTCGGGTGGTGGTTCTCTCTACCCCGACCCTTAGGCCATCATCTTTTCTTTCGATTGATATCATATCGTTTCTTATCTAAAAAACGAGACGAAAAAACAAGAAATCCTACTCTCCCCAACATAGAAAAAAACACCAAAAAACCAAACAACAAAAGCAAAACCCATCTCTGATTTGCTCTTTGTTTTTGTTCATTCATACCTCCAAGAATAGCGACTTAGTGTACTCGACCCATTGTCTCTGCATCAACCCCACCTCCATGCTTGCACTACACGCAAGAAGTAAAAAAAGAAACTCAGTTATTAAAACTGCAACCCAACAAAGCACCTACCTTAAATTGCACAGATCCTTTACAATAATTGCACCAGACAAAGGGTTGGAGTGCCCGAAAACCTTCAAAATTATTGGTGAGAGATGGTTCTTAATGATCGTAGTAATAGCAGCAATTCAAAGCTTTTCCCTTATTTTTAGGTGTTCAATTTGCTCTCTCTTGGCCTTTGTGTCATTTATTCATTTATGAACCTCAACTCTGAAAGGAGCCCTTTACCATTTGATCTCCTTTTTAGTGTTTGCTTTACCTGTGCTATACATCGTTTTCGCTGTACTGATTTATAATATTCCCTTTTGCTAGTCTTTCTTTTTCTCCCGAGAAACTATTGATTGTCGTTTATTGCTGAAGTTAAGCTTGATGATGATGTATAAGAAAAGATTTCAGAGTTCTCTTTCAATGAATTTGGATAGCGAGCGTCTTAATGGAACTTTTAGTAAGGCAAAGTTGGTCGTGCGCCACATCTATTGGTCCTTCAACTTTTTCCATATTCTATTTTGGTCCCCTTGGTCCTTCAACTTTTAACCATTTCTTTTTTCAATCTAATCCTTTTACCTCTCAAATTTAGTATCAACTCTATGGGTCTGTTTGTTTCTTCTCATAAGACATTTAATATTCTCATTTTTACAGAATTTCACTTTTTAAAACTCATAATATTGTTATCTATGGAGCTTAAAAACTCAATTTTACAGGTGAGATTTTTATATCGAGATGATGAATGGTAAAAATAGAAACTAATTAATTTGGAGTGGAGGAACTGAAACCTCAGACTTATGATCTATGCTTGAATTAGTTTTTATATATTATAATAATATAGCTTTCTCGGAATGAAATTGATAATTTAAGGTGAAGTTATTGTGAAGCTAGAAGGAATCTGGGTTGAAATCGTGCAGCTGTTGTTTGATTTGTTTGAGTGGGGTTTGATTAAGCAAAGAAGGGACAGAAAGTTGGACCAAAATGATGCCATTGAAAACCCCTTTTTGCTTTGTGAGGTATTATAACCAAACAAGAAAAAAGAATGGTGCCTTGGCGTTTTGGTCGGCTGCCATTTGTTTCTTTGAGATCCTCATCTTTTTTTTCCCATCCCCAAATTATATATATATATATATATATATATATATATATATATCTTTGGGATAATGAGAACGAGATGACTCATCAGACTCCTTACTCCCCTCCTCTCTTCTTTCTTATTACTTTTTCTCTCTTTATTTATTTTTATTTTAAAAAAAGAAAAAGAAAAAGAATTCACGTCATGATGGGTTGGAACCATATTCTCATCGTTAATAGTAAGAAGGAAAATATTCTATTTGGCTTCAAAAGGGACAAAACTACGGTGTGGTTTTGGATTGGATTTTGTGAATGTTTGCTGAATCCACCACACCTCAATGGGGGTGAGAGTTCTCTTATTTATAATTATTTTCAGAATACAGAAATATGGTAAATTACAAATATTATGGAAATAGTAATAAAAGGAAAGAATAATAAATGAATGCAATATATTTGCCTTTAATAAGAGGGCAAATATGGTAACCCGTAATGTAAGGCAAATATCTAGATATTTGCCTTATAGTGACGGTCAACTATCCTTAACACCCCCCCGCAAGCTGAGCGTCGGATTTGAACGAACGTAAAGCTTGGATCTGAAAAATTCAAAGAGAGGTCGAGAAATACTCTTTGTGAAGATGTCAGCAACTTGGAGATGAGAGGGTACATATTGTGTGCGAAGTTTGCCAGCGATAACAAGTTCTCGAAGGAAATGATAATCTAGTTCAACATGTTTGGCCCGCTTGTGAGAAACGGGATTAGAGCTCAAAAAAATAGCACTTTTGTTGTCACATAAGAGTAAGGGCTGCTTTGAAATAGGGACCTTGAGGTCATGCAAAAGATGCGTAACCCAAAGAAGTTCAGCAGCGGTTGTGGCAAGAGCACGATACTCAGATTCACAGCTGGAGCGTGAGACAGTAGGTTGCTTTTTGGCACTCCAAGAAACCAGATTGTTACCAAGATAAATAGAATAGCCGGATGTAGAACGACGAGTATCGGGACAACCAGCCCAGTCAGCATCCGAATAAGCGACTAGCGTACTAGGAACATTGGATGGACGAAAGGTAAGACCAAAGTGGAGTGTTCCTTTGACATAGCGAAGAATACGTTTGACAGCAAGAAAGTGATCTGCAGTAGGGGCATGCAAGAATTGACTGACAGAATTGACAGCATAGGCAATATCTGGACGCGTAATAGTCAAGTACTGAAGGGCGCCAACAAGAGATCTGTAGAGAGTAGGATCAGAGAAAGGAGAACCATCAGCAGTCAAGTGTTGAGAAACAACCATAGGAGTGTGAACTGGTTTGCTATCGAGCAACTGAGCACGAGTAAGAATATCTCGAGCATATTTTAACTGACTAATAAAGAGACCATCAGGAGTGGGTGAAGCTTCAAGACCAAGAAAGTAACTGAGAGAACCCAAATCTTTGGTAGCAAACTCAGAATGAAGCTTGCGAGTAAAGCTGTCAATAAGAGATGAGTTGTTGCCGGTAACAATAATGTCATCAACATAAAGAAGCAAATAGATAATGTTAGATTGCTGATGAAAGACAAAAAGGGACGTGTCAGCGCGACTGCAAGAAAACCCAAGTGTGAGAAGAAATGAGCTAAAACGCTGAAACCAAGCACGAGGAGCTTGCTTTAAACCATAGAGGGCTTTCTTTAATAGACAAACATGAGTGGGAAATCGAGGATCAATATACCCAGGAGGTTGTTCCATATGAACACGTTCAATAAGAGTTCCATTGAGAAAAGCATTCTTGACATCAAGTTGTCGAAGAGGCCATTTATTTGTGACTGCAATAGAAAGCACAACACGGACAGTGGTAGCTTTGACAACCGGACTGAAAGTGTCAGTGTAGTCAAGACCAGGAACCTGAGTATAACCTTTGGCAACAAGACGAGCCTTGAAACGCTCGACAGATCCATCAGGCAAATATTTAATACGAAACACCCATTTAGAGCCCACGATGTTGGTGTTAGCAGGGCGAGGAACCAAAGTCCAAGTATCATTTTGTTGTAATGCTTGAATTTCTTCATCCATGGCAGCCACCCAAGCAGGATTCTTAGCCGCAGATTTGAATCCTTTTGGCTCAGTGGATGCAAGAAGAGCAGAAAGAAGTCCAGATGAGCCCAAAATACCAAGATTTGCTGGATGACGAGTCTTGAATATACCAGCTTTGGCTCGTGTGATCATAGGATGAGTGCCCAAAGAAGAGAAATCAACAGGAGGTTCAATAGAGGTCGAATTAGAAGTCGAAGGTGGCAAAGTGGAACCTGCAAGAGAAGTATCAACCTGCACAGACTCATCTACAAGGTCAGAACAAATATCACACGGGGATGAACTGGATCGAGGAGTTTGCGGTGATGAAGTGGTAGGGGGGGATGAATCAATATGATGAAAATGTGGTTCTAAGAAATTTGAAATAGGAATAGAGGAAAGAGGTTGGGTCTGGGAGCTAGGGATAGCAGGAAAGTGGGTTTCATCAAATTGAGCATGACAGGTGATATATAGCTTAGTGGTGGCCGGATCAAGACAGCGAAACCCTTTATGAGCAGGACTATAACCCAAAAAAATACAAGGAATGCTGCGGGGAGAAAGCTTGTTAGGCATATAATCACGCAAATAAGGATAAACACGACAACCAAAGGGATGAAAATTGTCATAATGTGGAGTGTAGCCATAAAGGAGTTCAAAGGGTGACTTACCTCCAAGAAGTGGAGTAGGCAACCGGTTGATAATATAAGCTGCAGTGCTGAAGGCGTCAACCCAAAAACGAGAAGAAAGATGAGAGTGAAAGAGAAGGGCCAAGCCAGTCTCAGTCACATGACGATGTTTTCTCTCAGCACGACCATTTTGAGCAGGTGTATATGGACAAGAGAGTTGATGGTGGATGCCAGAATTACGTAAATGAGTTTTGAAACAAGTATTAGTAAATTCGGTACCACCATCACTTTGAAATACCTTGATACGAGAAGAATATTGATTTTCCACAAATTTTTGAAATTGAAGAAAAATATCAAAAAAATCAGATTTAAATTTTAAAGGGTAAAACCAAGTGAATCGAGAATAATCATCAATAAAAATAACATAATAAAGGAAACCCGAATTTGATTTGACGGGAGAAGGACCCCAAAGATCACAATGAATAAGATCTAACACATGAGACGACCTACGTTCATTGCGGGAATAAGGCAATCGATGACTTTTTGCAAGCTGACAGGTATTACATAATGATGGAGAAGGCAATAAAGACGTAAGAGAAAGATGACCTTTTCTATTTAAAAAAGAAATAACAGAATGATTCACATGACCTAGACGAGCATGCCATAAATCATATGAAGCACGTAAAGATTTGTTTCTAAGGGCTGAAATAAAAGCAGAGTTGCCGCGCTCCAGCACATATAGCCCTCCATCTCTTTTACCGGTTGCCACCACCCTTCCTGTTTGACGATTCTGGATAGTAATAAGATTATTAGTAAATGTAACGGAGAGAGGAAAATCAGACGTTAATTTACTTATGGAAAGAAGATTTTTAGTGAGGTGAGGGACAACCAAGACATCTAACAAGTGAATATTTGGAACAGGTGAAAGAGTACCGGTGTGGGTAATGGGTAGGGAAGCACCGTTTCCTACAATCACAGAGTCCTTACCCGTGTAATTTTTAGACTGATCCAAAATAGATGGGTCGGCAGTCATATGGGCCGAAGCTCCAGTGTCCAGAAACCAATCAGCAGTATCGGGTCCAGCAATAGAACATGACGTGTTAAAGGCTTCAGCAAGGTGAGCATGAGAAGAATCAGGTCGAACATACCGTTGGTTGCAGCGGTCAGCATAATGGCCCTCTTTGCGGCATATTTGGCAGTGAGGTGGTCGACGACCTTGACTTGAGTGGGTTCGTCCTCGATTAGAAGAGTTATTTTTGTGAGAATAAGAACGACCTCGCTGGTTGGTAAAGGAAGCAGGGTGGCTTCCATGGGTGCGACCACGATTAGTGACTGTGAATGCTGTAGGAGTGGAGTTAGAGGACTCAAGGGAGAGCTGAAACAACTCAAAACTTTCAGCTTTAGAGACTAAATCTGCAAAACAGGGGATAGAGGTAAGAGCCATCTGAGCAGTAGAAAAAGCTGAAAATTCGGTGCCGAGTCCACGAAGGAACCAGTGCACTTTATCAATGTCCTCGACCGGTCTGCCAATGGCATGAAGTTGGTCACAAATTTTTTTTGAAGGCACGGGCATACTCAGCAACAGGTTTGGTGCCACGTTTCATCAACTGCAAGTCATCCTTGAGTCTCAGTTCACGAGCTTTCGACTGATGGCTGAACGTAGTTTCCAACGCAAGCCAAACATCACGTGCAGTAGGGAGACCAACGACAACAGCCATGGCTTCCTCAGTGAGAGAGGAGAGCAGGAGACAGAGAAGTCGTTGATCGGCTGCTCTCCATGCCAAATATTTGGGGTTGAGTGTTGAAGAGGTTTCTGGTTCAAAGCGAGGTGGTGGAACCCTGGTTCCATCGACATAGCCCAGCATGTCTTGACTCTCAAGAAGAGGGAGAAGTTGGCTTTTCCAAAGAAGATAATTGGAGGAAGAAAGTTTGATGGTGATCATATGGATTAGAGTATTGAAAGGAAGAAGATGATAAGAAGATTCGGAAGCCATAGAGAAGAAAGGATCAGGGTTGTTAAACCGAAAGGGCTCTGATACCATGTGAATGTTTGCTGAATCCACCACACCTCAATGGGGGTGAGAGTTCTCTTATTTATAATTATTTTCAGAATACAGAAATATGGTAAATTACAAATATTATGGAAATAGTAATAAAAGGAAAGAATAATAAATGAATGCAATATATTTGCCTTTAATAAGAGGGCAAATATGGTAACCCGTAATGTAAGGCAAATATCTAGATATTTGCCTTATAGTGACGGTCAACTATCCTTAACAGATTTGACCCATCTTAAAATGCCCCCCCTTCTTTTACTACCTTCTTTTGTTCATACAATAAACAGCCCTATGTTTGTCGTATGTGAAATAAACAAATGGATGTTTATTATTTATATTTGTCTATGTAGTCAGTAATAACTCATCAATGATAACTAAAAGTTAAATGTTTGAATCTCGCCCGACATTGAAGCTTTCTATATTCAAAAAATAAAATTATTTCTCCAGAAATTTAAAAACAAGTTTTTACATTTTATACTGTTATAAGTCATTGCCATATGTCTATCCTTAGCTACTGTAGTACTTGAAGTTTTTTTTTTCTTTTCTTTTCTTGAGGCATCTTTAAGTTAAAAGTCATAGTTCTAATGGTTCTAATATCTAAGGCAATGAACTAAATACCTACTACAGCTAAAGAACGAGAGTTGTTGAAACTAGTACATTAGAAGATCAATTGACCAAAATAACTATGAGTAGCTATGATATTATAAGTTTCTTGTTCTTGATTAAATCTGTAACTTTCATTAGCATATTCATTTTTTTTTTGTGGTTTTCCTGATCAAACCAGAAGTTATCAAGGAACCATGCACTACATTGAATAGGGAGTCGCCGAAATACCAGCTACTCCTAACATGTGGAATGGGTGCATAAGATGTTGATCTTAACCTGGAATATAATCATTAAGTTGAAAGTACCTGAGATTCCCCTAGAGGCATACCGTCAAAAAAGATTCTTTGACCAATTGAGTTCAATCTAAAAGATAAATAATTTGTTTGACTAATAGTTTTCAACTACTTTTAGCTTGGGTTAGTCGTGATGGATCATAGTCAATGTTTGATGCTACATATCATTTTTCTTGTCCAAGAAGGCTCCCATCTTTTAGAATAGGAAGGAAGAAAAACAGTTAACATTAGAGGGGATTGAGTTACTGGGTGGGTGATGGGAGGAAGAATCTCCATGGCCACTTTAGAGGTGCGCTAGTTGAGTGAGTGAGCATCTTGTTCATTATCTTAGACATTGCTTTATTGATATGTCCCAACATTCGTAATGGAGTGCTTTCTTTTTACCTATCCACTACTAAGTAGCTTACGGAATCTTTCTTTCGTTCTTTCTAATAAATTACCAAAAACCGCGAGTTTTTGCTCGATCTCACTCCTACATATTAAATGGATAATTTTTTGTCAATACCTATTTTTACCTCTTTTCTTCCTTTGTCCTTTGGTTTCAGATGGATTGAAAAGTCCTGCTGGGTTCCTGGAGTTCGCTGAATTCATCACATCAGAACTATTTACAATGAGCCAAATATAATGCTGAAGGATGAGAAGAACAATGGCTGAACCAACAACCACCACCTATCAAGTTAGGCTTTTTTTTGGGGGGAATAATGTGCAACTTTTCTAATATAATATATAGGTTAAAAATTGTACTTTCAATCAAACTTAGTTTTTATTGAAAAAAAAAACAATACGAGAATAGGGGTGACCAATAAGGTTACCTTTCGTTGGTGAAAAATTAAACTAGTTCGATTAAGAAAAACGTAACGGAGGTTTCTTAATAGGAGTTAAGGTGATCAATATATGATCACACAAATAAAACAAGTAATTTTCGACAAAAAGAAATATATTTTTCAATCATATTAAGAAAAAAAGAGAAGTAGAGTTATAATTACCCGACGGCTACTGCTTCATTCATCCGTGCTTCAGAGTTCAAAAGGCATAAGATAGCTACACAATCAATTCATGAGTGACGAAACTTCATCAAGTAATTACGTCTATGTATTTATTTTTAGAAGAAACAATACCTTAAAATAAGCCAATAATAATTTTAAAATAAGTCAATTACTATCCTTCCAAAGGCAAGAATCAAGAATTTTACCGCCAAAAGGTATCCAAATTTGGAGTGTATCAACAGATCCTGCAACTCCGCCTACAGTAGCCTGGAAGCTCCGGAGATCCGACCATATACTCAGGGTTTTTGGTGCACTCCCCTAAGGCAGCCCATCTCTCACAGCTTTCGTTTAGATCCGAACAGTCCCCAATGTTTCCCAAGTTTTTGCTGAAAGAGTCAACGTGAATCCACTTTGTTGCTGACCATTTTTCTCCTTCAAGAACAGGGCAGCCTCCATGGAGACTATTGGTGTCTGGGATTGCATTTGGTTCGAGACTAAAGAAAAGAAGGGCATCGCCTTTCTTTGGTTTCACTACATCCGTTCGTTCCAAGTGAGAATATAAAGTCACAAATAAAAGCACATTAATTTCAGCAAAAGCTCTATAGTTTGTTTGTTTGGGCCCTCGTACCTGCAATTCCTTGCCTTGCACACTCTGAGAGATCCTCGTCTGTTTCAGAAGCCCTCCGGCGGGGAGATTTCTGCTCATATAAGATTATATAACAAGGTTAAACAGATCTGCTATCGATTTTAGTCATTTATGAACCAAATTCATTTACAAATTTAATATCAAAATTGGGTTAAAAATTGTGTTAAGAATGAGAAGTTCTGATATCATGTTAAAAATGAGAAACATAAGTGGAATCGATTATTGTTAACATAGTATTAGAGCTTCTCATTCTTAACATGAGATCAAAGAATCCTTATCATTTTTAGCATAATTCACTTATTTGTGAGGAAGAGTTTCAGTAATCCTTGAGCTTCATGTCTAATCCAATTGACCAATAATTTGGTTAAATTAGTTTGTGAATCAACACTTGGAACTAACCTCAGCCAAGGGAAAAACTGTTTCACCGCCTTTGGTCACATTAGAGAGATACATAAGGACTGTAGCTAAACGATGTCCTCCCCGGGCAATATTAACCTTGTCAACAAAGTAATCATAATGTGATTCATACTTCTGGCCATGCTCATATCTCAATACCTGAATGTCCTCTCCATTCTCTGAAAAATGGGAAATACCCGCTACATTTGCAGTAACAAAATAATAATAATAATAATAGAGTGACTAACTCGTAGAATTTGAGTTGGATTATCAACTTATCTAGGTTGAGTTGGGTTCAAAAAAAAAAGAAAAAATTATAGGTTAAATTAGTTCATGAGTTCCTCTAAAATAAGTTTAGATTAAATCGAACAAATTCGAATTTTTATTTCATTATTATTTTTTTTTATTTTATTAAGAACTCTTAAATGAAATTTTAATTTTTTAGAAGGGCGCTTTTAAAAAATTGAGTTATAAATCTTAATTCAATATTTGAAAATAAATAAATAAAATGTTTTACATATTAATATTTTACTTTTATTAAAAACAAAAATTTGAACAACCCGAACCACTCAATCCAAATAATTTATGGTAGACTAACACAACTTATGAACACCCCCTTAGACTAACACTAGTACTCCACATAACCAAATCAATGGAAACAGCATGAATGTTACTAATGGTTATGAAAATCAACTGTAGTAATTCAAATGCATATGACGTAACAAATCAATGGCAAAATCTGTGATTTGACAATGAACAAATCGTATACCTTTTGGAAGAAAAGTCCATGCAGCAATTTTGTCCTCGATGCCAGAAACAATAGGATCCTGAATATCAAATAAAAATGTAAATAAAGAAGATACTTCAACTATACTTAATAGAACCAAATGAAATAGTTATTGGTATACTATACACATCAAGCCTAAGATACATGAGGGAGGGATGAACACGAAGTACAATGTATATTAGATTTATTAAAACATAACCACTCAGAACTCTTCAATCTAGTCCTGATTTAACAAGATAGGAGAGAAGGTTTCAAGTTATTATTTCTGAAAAATTGTTTGCTCTATAATTTTGTATGAACAATTAACATAGTGGACGTCGTAACTCAAACTAAGATCCTAAACTTACACACAAGACGCAATGTTGATTAGTGCAGCCACGCAATCAGGAACATTCAAATTGTAATGTGATTGTTTAACCTCTTTGAGAATGCAATATATTTCAGTTTCTTACCAGCAAAGTTTCTTCCATTAGTTTAATTCATAAATAGATTCAGCGACCACTAGTAGCAGAAGTTTTTTTCCGATCAAAAACAAAAATCGAAAGAGAAATTAGAGAAAACATCGAGAAAAACAAACTGGAAGATTATTTGTATGGAGATCGAACCTAACCTTGCTCTTAGAAATGAACATTCCTGAGCTCGTTCGAACAGTACTGAGCTTGCTATCTCCTGAATCATTATCAGCAACTTCAGATCTCTTTAGCTCGGATCTCGCCTATCGGAGAAGAAAAACGAGCCTTCAACAACAGAGATCGACATGACTTCTATAAAGATGAATATCACTAAAGCTTAACTTACTATAGAAACCAGATGGTCGCATTCTAGGTCCGTGAGAAATCCTTCATATACAAAAGCTCTGCAACATCAGCAAAACGCCTAATAAAAAATTTGCGAAGCATAAATTACAATCCAAAACTGAATTAAGGCTATTGCAGTAGCGAACCGTCACTGAACTTAACCTAGACGACAAGAAGTTAAAATCTAAAACAATTTCGAGCTCCATAACTTTCTCAGCAAACAAACACGATAGAACGGAAAAGAAATAAAAAAGAAGATACGTGCGTTTGAAAATGATAGCGTTAAGAACCTCGGTTTCCATGAAATCTGCTTCACTTTACTAGGATCTACGGTGGAGGTAGCCGAACCAGCATACGAACAACTTGATTCCCGAACAACCGATGAGATCAAAATCAAGAAGAGAAATAACAGATTGCGAAATTTGGACATAGTCTCGATCGGATTAAATTAGAGAGAGAGAGAGAGAGAGAGAGAGAGTGATCGGAGAAAATTTATTCGAAGTCTGCAAATCCAGAGTTTTAAAGGGGCGGCTTCCTCTCGAGTCTCGACAGAAAAACATTGATGCCAACTACACGTGCGAGATTGCCACGTCAGAATAAGAAACCAGTCTATTTCTTTTCTTTATTTTTCTCCTTCGAATATAATATCTAAACGAGTTTAGGCTAATATTTTATTGATGAGAAATTCTTTGGTACGTTTTAAGGAATTTATCTCATGAGTTTTAGATGTGAGATCCCACATCTATGAGAGAAACAACGAAGCATTCCTTGTAATGGTATAGAAACTTTTCCATCACATATGCGTTTTAAAAACAGTGAGATTGACAATGATAGATAATGAGGAAACGAAGTATTACTTGTAGGGTGTAGAAACTTTTCCATCACATATGCGTTTTAAAAACAGTGAGATTGACAATGATAGATAATGAGGAAACGAAGTATTACTTGTAGGGTGTAGAAACTCCTCCCTCACATATGTGTTTTAAAAACAGTGAAATTGACGGCGATAGGTAACGGGTCAAAGCAAACAATATCTACTAGGAATAGGTTTACAGTGTGCAAGCGAGGACATTGGAAACATACCATATCTACTAGTAGTGGGCTTAGACAATTACAAATGGTATTAGAGCCAGACATCATTCCAAGGGAGTGGATTGTGAACGAACTAAGGTCACATTCCAATGAAAGAAATTTCTCCTCGATGACTCAAAAGAATATATTGAATAATGGATGGTCCATGACAATTTATTCAAATGAGATACAACCATATGTCAAAACGAGCATAGTTGAACTTGCATTAAAACGAGCATAGTTGAACTTGCATTAAGTACATACCAACCATACATAAAATTTGATAATTGAAATGAAGAAAATACCAACATCTCTAAACTCAAACCATGCAAACAGAAAATTTCAAATATAATAACAAGTAACAACATTTGGACTATCACTGGTATTCTCAAATGAATTCAACATTTACAACAAAAAGAAAATAACTTCAAATCACAAAATTAAAACATCGAGATCATATATTATGATGAGTATCACTGCATAAATATCGTATAAAAATTATTTCGTGGGAGAATTTTTAAAAAAAAAACAAAGTATTTGTGAGGTGATAATAAACCTAAACATCAATATCACAAGCTCCTAAAACAATCTCTAAATGTCGATCCATATCACTTAAATACTTGGTAGAATTATACTCTTCTGCATCTAAAAGTTCCTCGGAGTATGTCCTCTGAAATATAGATTTCTGTCGTCGTAAAAGTTCCAAAGCAGCTCCATTTCCTTTCAGGATCTCAACAATCTATATATATATATATATATATATATATGAATATAAGATACCAAATCTAATTTAAGAAATGTGAAGTCGATAATAACAAAGTTGTGAGGAATCAAATATAGATTTTTAAAAATAAAATCGTTATGTACCGAGACTTCATTTTTTCTAAAAAATTTATCAATGCTGAACGAAAAACATGATAGAACATCATTTCAATGTTTAGAAATGAATGACAATCTTCTACCAAGGTGTAGAGATAACCTCGAGGTATGAGAGGATCAATGCTTCAATCTTTTTTTTTTTTCTTTTTCTTTTAGTTCAACATGTGGTGCGGACTTTCACACTTCTAAACTTTTTAGTCAAAGGTATGTATCTTAATCAATTGAGCTAACTCTTTTCTACCTTACTGGAGATAATTTTAATCTTTGACTCGTACTCATGATTATCTAAGTAAAAGTGGTTACCTCGCACATCTCTGGCCGTTGAATTGAAGATTGATTTATGCACATTGAAGCTACCGATGTCATAAGCTTCATTTGTTCGGTGTCAAATACGTCGAGAAGACATGGATCAACAAGATCCTTGAGATTATCTTTAGGAAGTAGAGGTTTAGCCTGCAAATAGTTTTTAACAGACAAGTGTTATACACAAAATTGTTCTCAAGATCAGCAAAATTGAGATTGCAGTTGGGGACATACCCACATCACAAGGCTTTGCTGTGAGCTATTCAATGCTTGCCGTCCGGTAATGAGTTCCAATAAAAGTACTCCATAAGCATAGACATCGGTTTTTTCATCAACAATGCCATGCATAAAGAACTCAGGGGGAAGGTACCTATAATCATCAGAGGAGGATCAGGGTTGGAGTAGTAGGATTTTAAAAATTCTTCACAAGAATTTTCGATCGACGAACCCGAATGTGCCTTCGAACTTCGACACGGTATGGTGAGTCCATTGATCTGGTAGCCACTTAGCAAGCCCAAAGTCGGATATCTAAAAGATGTTGAAACGGTTAGGAATCATGACTCTCTACACTAGTACGATATTGTTCACTTTGAACATAAGATCTCATAGTTTTGCTTTGGACTTCTCGAGAAGGCCTCATATCATGGAGAGGTATTCTCTCCACACTAGTATGATATTGTCCACTTTGAGCATAAGATCTCATGGTTTTGCTTTAAGCTTCCCGAAAGGCCTCATACCAATGGAGATGTATTCCTTACTTATAAACCCATGATCATTCCTTAAATTAGCCAACGTGGGACTCCCTCCCAATAATCCTTAACCATCCTTCGAACAAAGTACACTATAGAGCGCTCTCGAACAGCCTCCATTTAATCGAGGTTCGACTCCTTCTCTGGAGTCCTCGAACAAAGTACACCATTTGTTTGAAACTTGAGTCACTTTTGACTACACATTCGAGGCTCATAACTTCTTTGTTCCACATTTAAGAATTCTATTGACATAGCTAAGTTAAGGGCATGACACCTCTGATACCAAGTTAGAAATCACGACTCTCTCCAATAGTATAATATTGTCCACTTTGAGCATAAACTCTCGTGGCTTTGCTTTGAGTTTCTAAAAAAGGTCTCATACCAATGGAGATGTTCCTTATGATCCTTTACTAAATTAGTCAACATGGGACTCCCTCCCAACCCATCCTAAATAGAAACTGCATTTTTAGGTTGGATATCCTAAGGATTTTTATTTGATGTTATCAATGTCAATGCGCAAACTTTACAATATGTTTGCATTGAGTTCAACTTTCCTGCATATCTCCAGCTACAACACTTGGATAACTGTCAGAGCATAAAGCATACCTGAGGCTCAAAATCTTCTCTAAGCAATATATTAGAGGCCTTAATGTCTCTGTGGATTATTCTTCTTTGGCAGCCTTCATGAAGATACAGGAGGCCTTCAGCAATTCCTAGAGCAATCTTATACCTGGTTGACCAATCCAGTCTCTCCTTTGGCCCTAGATTATACCGGTGGATTTAGCAATAAATTAAACGGTTAGAAATGCAAAAGATTGACAATAAATAACAAACCATAAAGTATGGATGCCAGGCTTCCAAGGGGTGATAAATGAAGTATAAGGTGCATTCCCCCTTCAACGCCGTACCCAATTACGCTCGCAACATTAGGATGATCAACATGAACGATAATTCCAAGCTCAGACAAGAAATCTGCAGTCATCTCTTCTTGGGTGCCTCTATTAAGCCGCTTGATCGCGACAAGTTGCCCATCTTCCAGCTGCCCTTTGTAAACTTCAGAATAACCACCCTCACCAATCAAGTTTTCTTTTGAAAAAAGAAACAAGGTGTTTTATCAGCATACAAATTAGATATTCTATTACCATAAAGAAAGGAACGGCATTATCAAAGTTTCACATCAACAAGGCTAATTCAGTGTCGAGCAATAGACCTGGGTTGAAGTTATTGCTAGCAGCTTCAAGCTCTGAAAGTGTGAAATTCTTCCAAGAAGATTTGAAGTAGCAAAACTCGGACTGTATAGAGGAGTCCCTCACTGGTGATACTGCCGGAAGCATATCCTCTCTAATTCTTTTGCTCTTTCTTTTGGCGATTTTTGGAACAGCTAGAGGAGGAAAGGTCTGAAATCGCATTTGAGGTCCTTTCTTCAGCAAGCGAAAGAAACCTTTCCAATGGCTTGGATTTCTGGAGTCCGGATTAACTACCCAATCGGAAGTGCTGTCCCGGGAAGTAGTTGTTTCAGAATCTAAGCTTCTCAAGCAGTCCTCGAGCACCCCTCTAGGAGATGATTCGTCTTTGGCTTCATCTTCCAATTCTAATAATCTCAACTCTACCAACACATAGAATCATAACATTATTAGTACATGATGGATGATGAAGTACTTGCAGGAGCTTAGAGATTTATATACCATGAGAAGCAAAAGAGTCGGAGAATCCACGCTGTCTTCTGCTCCCTAATTTGGGAGTCCCCACAGCTTGATCTGTCTGATCTTTTGATTGATCTTGACAAGCAATATCGCCTGAATCATTGCTGTTCAACAAATTCCCACGTCAACAACTAATTGACAGCACAAACAGCATAAAAGCTCCAAGGCAAAATCTCTAATAACTAAATATAGAACACTTGATGACATGGGAAATTTGAATAAATGGCCACTAGAGACTTGCAGAAAGTATAAATCAGGTCAAGAAGAAGCAACCAGACAAAATAAACCCAACTTGAGCATAGCTCTATAGCTCTATAATTAAGCCATCAGTAAACTTCATTATTGGCCGAACCTTTCCTTTATGTCAAAGTTTCCAATCCCCATCCCACAACTATAACATTAAACACTAAAAGGAAAAAAAATGAAAAAAAAATTCAAACATATACTAGGGACGTGCAAAACCAAACCAAAACCAGCCCGTTCTATTCATTTGTTTGTTTTCCGAATTCTTTAGGTCCAAACGGGATTAAACCCTTTGTTAATGGTTTGTGTTAGGAATCACAAATCTCCGCAATGATATAATATTGTCCACTTTGAACATAAACTCTTGTGGTTTTCTTTTGATTTTCCCAAAAGATCTAATATCAATAGAGATGCATTTCTTACGTATAAACCTATGATCAACCCTTTAATTAGTCAATTTGGGACCCTCTCCCAACAATCCTCGACAATTTGGTTTGCACAATCAATTTTCTTTCGAGTCCAAACTAGACCGACAAAGGCCTA